TATTGCTACACCACAAATGCAAACACAGCGTTCTATACCCTACTTGGGAAAGACAAGCCAGCTCCATCATCAAGGGGTGTACATACACAGAGAGATTCTTACTGCTCCAGAAACACTAAACAATGGTTGACTTTATGTCCATAAAACATATTGGTGATAAAAAGGATAATGCACTCACCTGGTTAAAAATGAGCTTGGTCTTCTTTCTTCCAGCACAAGTCTCATTTTCAATAACAAAAAAGGATCTACTGATAATTAATTTTAATGGCCTTTGATCACAGATACACCCTATCAGAGATCTAAGAACTTCAAGTTTAGAAACACTAAAGTCTACATTACTATTTAATTCCATAATAACAACTGAGTCGCATCAACATTATCATTATTCCAGACTGATTTTTCCCAGTAAGCAGAAGTCTAAGCAAAGCCCTCATCAGTAACCTTTCCCTGAAAAATTCTATAGGAAATGAAATGCAATACTCTGTTAGGACTTGTTTAGCAAACAGAAGTGAGAGAGATCACCCAAGCATGCAGAGTCATTAAAATGGATCTTACATATATCATTATAAATTTAATAATCTCCATGACGGGCTAGAGTTCAAGTTAAAAAGAATGTCAGCAAAGCATGACCAATTGATGTTATCCCAGCTGCCACTGAGCCTCACTTGGGGTTACATTATACATTCAGAGGCCCCGTGCTACATGTGCACCAAACAGCCAGAGCCAGGAGCAGATGGGAGATGTAGGCTCCCATACCTATCAGAAGGGAGAGACAGACATAATTGCATATTAATTTTGGTGCATCAAAACAATTACAGCATGCTTGGGTGTCACGGGTCACAAATGTTTTTCCCATCACACCCCAAATGCAGGATAATGTTGTACACTTCAGAAGGGGGAGGAAAAGAGTTCCAGCAGCCTCCAGAAATCAAGTCAATAGACAGATTTTGTTTCAACCCTTATTGATTCACTTCAGTCCCAAAATGCTTCCTTGAAAAAAGTAGAAGGAAGACCTTGGCAGCTTGTCAGTTAATAGATCATGCTTGCTGCAATTAAGATACATTCAGGAGTTTTATTTTGTTCCCCAAATGCCATTTCTCTCCTAGCAAGCAGCTGCATTTTATCCAATTTCTGAAAGTTTTCCAGGCTGCTTAGATTTCTGATGGGGTGCCAGAGAAACCACTTTGATTCTTCAGCAGACCTGATGAAACTGACACAAACCTCCCTCTCCTTGAAATTAGACAGCGCTGTTGAACAGCAAAATAATAGCTGATGGTCAACTTCTTCTCCTCCGACTCAGTTTTCAACTGAAATAAAAATCACACAGGGGAAAGGAGCTCCCCCCACAGAGCTGAACATGGCATTTTCTATTGCCCATCAACTCTGAGCAGAGGACGACATCAATGATTTATACAGCAGAAACACACCAAGTTGTCGTGTGCTTGACTGGTGCCAAAAAAACAGCTTTGGAATCCCAGTTGGTCACAAGCTACAGCTTTGTCTGGGACAAGGACTTCACAATTTAGTGCACCAACCCATTAGGATGGGGTAACTCAGCACCACCCTGACACACAGAGAGCCACAAAGCACACTGTGCAAATTAAGTGCCAACAGCTGACATTAAGCGCTGTTCATGTTCACTGTTCCACTGTACATCTTGATTCAAGCCAAAATTACATCTGGCAACTACAGCAAAATGCAAACAGTTCCACCAGGACAATGAGGACACTGACAAGTGCACAACATTCTCAAAAATGAAAACACCAAACACCAAGACAGCATTTTTATAACCACTCCACTAATGATATCAACAGGAAAAAAGAAGCTAAACTTAGAACAAATCAATAATCTGACCAGACTCAGTAAGAGTCAGTATACTTCATTTGCACTGGATGTCTCTTCATCAACAAACAGCCAGAATTCTAGAGATCTTTCCCTTCTTTCACTCAAATCACAATTTCCCCTTCCCTCAGCTCTTTGCTCCATACATTGGAAGAAGAGAAAGACAAACACTTTCCAAAACATATAATCAAGAGATCTACAGCTGGCTGAGCATAGCGAGCAGCAAGTGCAAGTGATAAAAGCATTATGTAGAGCTATTCTGCCACTTGCAACTCCTTCAGTAATTTAAGCAGAAAGTGTTCCCACCTTTTGTCACTTACCCTTTTTTGATCTTCCAGTCCATGTGTCACAATCTTTCTTTTCTGATGTTGGCTGGATTCAGAGCCAGATTCCATTTCCCTGCTGCAAAGACTCTTCCAGCCTCTTTAAGCTTTCTCTAAAAATCCATAGCATAAACAGCAAAAAACTAAAAATAATTTAAAAAAAGGCGAGACAATTCCTTCAAACCTCGTCCATTGTCTTTCATCATTCTTCTTAATTCCCGTTTGCCATCACTGCTCATCATCCTAACAAGCAGCCATTCTGTGAGCCTCTGTGTCCTAAAGCAGCTCAGATGAAGGTTTCCATGCAAGTGCCTTACAGAAGGATGACAGAGCTGAATCCAAACCCACTAGGTTGTGCCACATTACTGCTCCATCAGCAGCCTTTTCAGTGCATTCCTGGCACAGATAATTTATATGTCAATAAAGGTGTAAACGTGCATTTAATCCACTGTGTTGATATTATCAGCATCCCTCTCATGGGCCGCCTTCCTCCCATAAATCAATGTAAACACTCCGCAGTGATAATTGCCTTTTGCAAATCTAGCAGGTGTTAATTACGTAAAATCATCCATGCACACTTGTCATCTTCTTCTATGTATTCAAACAAATACCTAGAAGGGGAGGGGGGAGAAAAAAAGCAATTTTTACCAGTGTGAAAGAAAACCTAGCTACTGGTGTTCTTTGTCCACCAACCAGGAGCCACAAGTCAGAGCTGATACAATAATTACACGTTTTGAGCTACACTCCTCATCCAAGCTACTCAAAACGCTCTGACACCTGTTTAGAGTGTTACCTTGCCTTTGGGACTTCTTGCACAAAACCAGCCCAGAGTGCCAATACTGTACATCAGAGCTGAACCCACTGCAACAACACTGACTGAAGCCTGCAAGGACCAACTCAAAACTCAGCTCTCCAGGGTTCAGAGTCCCAGACCTAAAGCCAAATCCTTTATTCTTCTCTGGGGTTTCCTACCCAGGGATCTTTCTTTCTCCACAGTCTGTGAAGTTAACGAGTGCCACCTCCCAAAAACCTAAGCGCAACAACGCAGGAACAAACAGGTTTTATTATTGGGAAGGAAAGCTGAGCAGAGCCTGAAATCACAGCTGAACAGGTCAACCAGCTCAAAATGCTGTTCTTTTTGCACTGAGAAGCACAAGTTTACTAAAAGAGATAAAGAGTCTCCTGGGTTAATTTGTAAGGTGGGATCAATAACAGCAGGCTTCAATATGCAGGCACCAGGAAAAACACATTTACTACACTGACTTCCATACTAAAAGGGCTAAACATTAAATCAATTTCAGCCACCTTAGCTGAGCACGGCATAAGAGGAAATATTTAGCTGCATGTTGTTATAAGCCTGGTAAGCACCAAAAACCCAAACCTGTGACCTGTGTAACAAAGGAACTAACAAATAAAAACATCATCAGACACTCTCCCGCCACTGAAGGATAAACAGCATCAAAAAAAGATTTCTGACAACACGGGGGAAATGCTTGCTCTGCATGCAGACGCCCCTTGCTACACCAAGGCAAAGATCTTGGCAAGACAACAGGTAGAAATGCTGCTTGTGCCTCTCACTGCTCCTCACCTCACCAAGCCAGTTCTCTTTCTTCTACAGAGCACAGGAAAGAACACAGCTGATTGCAGCAATGCTTTGCCATTTGAGAGTAATCTAAAAACACAGCTAACCCATTTTACAGAGAAACAGAACGCTTCCAATTCTATTTCCAACCAGAATCTCCTCCTGATCTGTGGTTCCAAACCTGCCAATAGCCACAGCAATCAGACAGGTACCTTGAAGGCAATTCATGGCCTCCAACCTTAGAAACAAATATCACAAGAAAAAAAAAAACCTAAATTTTATAAATATCCTTAAGCCCCACCGAGGAAAACTTTTCCCCTCCAGTGATTTCACTGTGATGTGACACATGAGACTGCATCAGTCACATCATGTAACGCCGTGCTGGAATAGCATGACATAACCAGTGCAGCTAAGGACAACATGAAAGGTCCCCTCAACTAGGGGGGAAAAAAAGACAAGAAGAAGAAAGTGTAGTCTCTGGAAGTTCCTGTGCATTCAACGTTCCAGCTTTAACCATCATGGAAACAGCCTCTCTAGGGAAACACATGAGGATCTATTTCTATTATTTGTATGTAGTACTTAGTACATGCCTGCAACCTAAAACCATGTGTTATAGGTATTTAGTGTTACTGCCCAAGTTAGCTACATTAAGCTTCATATATTAAAAAAATATATATTAACAGGAAGAAAAAATGCATCCTGAGGCTTAAAAAACCATTTCAAGTCAGCCACAAACCAAAACATTTTTGAATATCTAGACTTAGTTTTATTTTTACTACCTCCAGTAAAAGTAAGTTTCACTTCCTAACCTCTGTGTATATCTGACTGTGGAAATGGATTTATTTACAAATTTAAAGCAAAGTAATTGACATTAAATACAAAACAAAAACCTTCAAGAATAAAGAAAGGTAAGGTTTGCTGGGGCAATGACCACACAGCCAGAGACATTGAAACTAACAAAAAACCCATGTGACCCAAAACCGAATGGTGTCACCCCATTCTCCCATCACAGCAACATGCAAAGCCCCGGTCGGGCTCTAGAGCACGCTGGGCTGCAACTGACCACCCTCCCTGAATGAGCAGCTCTAAGGGCTCAGAGCCTGCACCTGGCCACGGCTTACGCACATTAACAGCCCAGTGAACCACAGGTGAGTTGATATTCTTAAATTTAAGCCATAAGGGCTCCGCCTGGGTATGTCCTACCAGAGTCCATCCTCAACACACAGTGCCAAAAAGGTCCCCACCTGCACAGAATGTCGCTCACATTTACCTCGCTGGATACCCAGATCCTCAAGGACGCCGCCTGGCCGCCAGTCTTCCATTCCAAGTAACGCAAATTAACACAACTTCTGGGGCTTTACTCGTTAAAATGTAAGCAATCTCGCAACAGCGGGAATTTTTAATTCCCACAACTGCCCGTGTTTCGAGAACAAGAAAGCAACCAAACCCACAAGTTCTCTTTTTTCCACACGGGGAGCAGCCCGGCAGTCAGTGAGTCCCGCGGCTGTGTGAGGGGCCAGACAAGACCCGGCGGGTGTGGGGACACCCGGCCGCGGGCGCCCCTGTGCCCGGCACACAGCCACAGTAAAGCAGCAGCAATAATGTACAAATAATCACAGAGGGCAGCAGCAGCACCCGCCCGGTGGCCGGCCCCGCCCGCGCCCACACCGCGCCGAGGGAACGACCCCGCCGCCGAGCCCGCAGCGCCGAGCCCCGCACAAGTTGCGGCCCCGCCGCCGCAGGGAGCGCGGAGGAGCCGCTCCCGCGCAGCGAGGCGGGCGGTGCCGGCCCCGCCGAGCCGCGGATGGGGCAGAGCCCCCCGGGCACCCCTCCCGCCCCGAGCCGTTCCCCGGCGGGCAGGGCTCGCTGCCGGCCGCCGCCGGGGCGCGGGGCTCCGCCCGGCCGGGGCCGAGTCCCTCCCGCCTCCGGAGCGGGCGCGCCGGGACAAACTTTCGCATCCCTCCTGCGCGCCGGGCCGGGCTCCCCGCGCCCGCCGCGTCCCGCCGGTACCTGCCGGGGCTGCCGCGGCGGGGCGGGCGGCTCTGGGCGCTGCTGCTCCGGCGGGCCGCCGGCCCATGTGCCCGGGCCAGGGCAAGGGGCCGCCCTGCGCGCCCGGCTCCGGCTCCAGCGTCGCCGCTCCGCGCCGCCGCCACAACTCACTCTGGCGTCGCCAGGACAACGAGCGCCCGCCCTTCGCCGAGCCCCCTCCCTCCTGCCCGCCCTCCCCGCGGCACCGCCCAGCGCGGGGGCTCCCACGTGGGGCCGCCACGCCAATGGAGGCGGATTGCGGCCGGCTGGGCCGGCGGAGAGCCGCTCTCCAGGCGGGAGGCAGCGGGCGCCATCCACTCCCCGCCGCCCCTCGGCCACCTGCCCCTTCGGCTCTCCCGCCTCACCTGCCCAAGAGAGCCCCCGAGGCCGCAGTGCGGGCAGCAGAGCGCTGCGGGCAGGCTTTGGCACAGAACGTGCGGTGTCCCTCGTGTGCCCAGCCCAGCCCAGGTCCTACACCCCGTCCCCGTGCCTCGGGATCCTGCGCTGCTGCAGGACCGCGGGCACACGGGCCCGGGGGCGCTGGGCTGGCTGGAGGCCGCAGCGGTAGCAGTGTTGAGGGGCTGCTGATTTCTGAGGGCAATGTGCTTCGCTGCCCACTCTGACTACAGCCCAAGGAAGCAAGAGTGGGATACCCCACGGCTGTGCTGGCCACACAGCACTATTAATGCAATATATTGGTAGTAGCAAACGTGTCTTGATTAGGCGCATATTCAAAAATCTAATGTAAATGTGGTATCACCCTCACGTTAGTGCAGGTCCTTGCACTGCTTGGAGCTGGGCCAGCTGCTCCAGAGCCTCGCAGGCTTTAACAAGCCAGAGCTAATAAGCCAGGCTGGGTGTAAGCTCACTCTTCACAGAGCCACTTAGGAAGCTCGGCATCAGTTCTGGAAATTACAAGTAGCTGCACTCCAGAAAGTTCAGCAGACCCCTTCGTTGGTCTGACTTGATTTTCTGGCCTAGCAGCCTTGGTCACCCTGCCTGGCCCACACACCTTCTGTGGGGGAGCAAAAGGAGCGCTAGCAAATATTATCACAGACACAAAATAAAGTGGGATTATATTGAAAGATTTGGCCCAAACTGAAGTGCGCTTTTTGTAGTGGGAGAACACACTTTGTTCTGAGGAGAACGTTACTGTCCAAGTCTGGGCTGGCTGGAGGCCACAGAAATAGGACAATGTTGAGGGACTGTTGATATCTGAGGGCAATAAGCTGGTCATGCTTCACTGCCTGCTCTGACTCCAGCCCAAGGAACCAAGGGTGGCTCCTGCTCTGACTCCCGCCCAAGGAACCAAGGGTGGCTCCTGCCATCCACCCTCCACCTGAGGCCAACAAGAAAAGGAGTGGTTCCTCTTCTATGAGAATATAGCTTCAGAAGCATCATCACCTTTCATCCTTCCTGTTCTGTTGTTATTGTATTACAAAACTTTCATACCTTCTTAGTGATTTATCAGGGACAGCTCCTCACAGCACCAACTCCTTCTTCCTCACAGCTCAGCCAACAAACTCTAGCTCCCGCCTAACCCTCTCTTTTCTAGCACTCATCCTTATTGGGCACATCTGGGCCTGTTAAGGGCTCTTTTCTAGCACTCATCCTTATTGGACACACCTGTGGCCAGTTAAGGACTCGTTTATAGCACTCATCCTTACTGGACACACCTGTGGCCTGTTAAGGGCAGGGCTGTTCCTAGTCTTTGGTGATTAGCACAGCTGCAACTCCTCAGGTGTGAGATTACCTTCTGCACCATCTTTATTTTCTCATATTCCCCCACACTATCCCAGATAGGAATATCACCAGTGCAGCTTTTCAAGGCATTTTCCTCATTTTCTCTCTACACTTTCTCTCTACACGCTAGTTCGTTCTGTGTGTGACTCCTTCTGTAGCACCTCTTTCCTGAGCAGAGAAAATTCAATTCTACTCTAAATAAAATTATGGCTACAGTCTTGCCCTGCTTTTAGCTTTGTCCTCAAAGCTTGATTTATCAGAGCTTTCAGGCCAGTATTTGCTACATCTACCAGTAAATAAAATTTACATCTTATTCAGTCCGTTTCTTTAGTTCTGTTCTTTAAATGTCAAAGTATGTGGCCTCTGTAAAAACTCACCTATGAACTTAGGTTGCCTGAGGTTTTCTCTAAGCCTACCTGGAAAAACAAGATGTCACAAACGCCTGGGCTGCTGTGGCTCTTGGGACCTTGGGGACAATGTGTCTTGCAGAAAGCTTCTTTGCTGTGACTCTCCGTCTGGCCCGTGTTCCAAGGCCTTTTCAAGCATTTTAAGGGACTTGCTGACTGCCAGCTCCCATGGAAGATGGCATTTCTGTCAATGTGTGACCCAACTGCCATTTGTATACCAATATAACAGGGATGAGAAATTAAGCCAAACTGGTTCTTTGGCAAATTCAGGTGATGTTTTAGTATGATAAGAAATGGTTTATAATATATTACTTAGAAATTCTGCCTCTACTGTAACATTTTTATGTTCAGAAAAATCTTCTTTTAAAAATATGTGGCTAGAGGTAGTAAAGAAGATTAGAACAGCCTTGTCTGTGATAAAGGAAAATTTCAATTCAATGGGACTGCTGTAAAGGCCCTTATTTATTTTTCTCAGCAGTTGCATTCACTCGCTTGCCTGCAGCTTTAGTTGTTGTGGAGGTTTTCTTCTGTAAATTCTTCAAAGTGATGGATTTTCTCTTTGAAAGAATGCTTGACTGTAGAAAACTACAGAAGTGTAACCTTTTTTTTTTTCCCTGTGCACATGTGATGCTTTGAGCTTTGAAAAGACGTGTGTACTGCCACCTCTTTTGTTAATTTGCATGCCAGGAGCCTAAAAATTTGCATTACTGGCTTCATGCTCCGCAACTGAAAGCAAGGACAGTGATGTCCCACTCTTTCCAGTTAAAGGTCATCTGGAATACATGTTCCTCTCTGACTCAGACTAGTGAGACAGTCAGCATTTCATTAATCAAAGAAGCACAAGGCTTATTTTTATTGATCAAATGCTATGGTTGTAACAAGAAGCACTAGTGTACAAGGTGTTGCACATTTGCATCCTCCCCGGTGCTTACAATTTAGACAAAAGGCAAGAGAGAAGCAGCAGGATTTTAATCTCTGTTTTAGAAGCAGAAAGCTATGGCACAGAGCTGATGAGGAGAATTTGCCAAGATCACATTTCCCAACTGAATCAGCATCTTAACCACAAGCTATTTCTGCTCTTGTTGGTTCTTATCCTTTTGATGTATTCCAGCTTTTTAGATAGGTGAAAGTAATAATGTATACAGTTACAGCCTTGGACTCTAAAAAGATAATGATCAAAGTCCAAGTTCTCATTGGACATTAGCATAGAAATAATTCTCTTATTTAAGAGTCCATACACAACCAAAGGTAACAGTAATTGTCCTGTAAAAATCAGCAACAAAGCCCTTTAAATGCACACCTTTAGTCCAGGGATCATGTCAATCAAATCCCAGTACAATTCCTATGAAAAAGCAATTTAGTATTTTCACAGAAAGCAGAAGATTGCGGGGTGGGGGCAGCAGCCTGGGACTCGTGACTCCTGAATTTGCCAGCTCTCTGGCATCTAAGCTCACCCTGGGTTCTGTGGAAGCACACCAGGTTCCCACAGGATGAAGTCTAAATGCCAGCCATGCACTGTAAATGTGTTAAATCAAAGGTTGCCTTTTACCACCAGTTCTATAGAAGCTGTGCTAAGCAAGCCCTTCTCTTGGTTGGAGCTCAGAGGCAGCAAGTCCTTGGTGCCTGGGTGCCCCCTGGCACTGGCCATGCTTTGGAGCTGTGATCCCAGCTTGGATCTCAGCAGATCTGGCCCGATGCATTTTAATCACCATTGCAGTACGAGGCTTCTTCAGTGCTGTGGGAGCTGTGGTGCCATAAACCCACGCTTTGCCATGAGCATTTAAAATATGAGGCTTCCTCTGCAAGGGCCTTTTTCCTGACACTGCTAAATGTCAGAGAAAGTTCAGTTCTAACACATTAAAAGATGCCTTAAAATACTGAATATTATTCATACTCTCAAAGAACTAGTTTTTATTTCAAGTGAAAAATGTTTCATAATTAGGAAACAAAACATTCATGAAGAGCTACATGCAACTCATCATCTGAAGAATTTAAATCATTTAGCTTCAGATAATTCAGCTTTGATCCATAGACTGTAAGAGCCAACGTTTCCTGAGGTGTTTTCACAGACTTTTGAGGACAACGTCGAGTTCATTTGTCTGTGTGTCTGCTGCAGGGTCTGGTAAAACATTCTGTTACAAAACTGATGGCTGCAATGGTAGGAGCGTTTAGACAGCAAAAAAACAGGGATGTTAAACTAAAATAGCAAAGCTTTTATTAATTTTTCAGGCTCCCTTATGTACCTTTTAGCTTTTGGCTGTAGCTAATAAATTTGAATGTTCATATAAGTTCTGACTTTAGGCAATGGAGTCTTAAAAATGTCTTATTTTGCATTTTTAAGATGTTATTGTGCAATGCATGTACATTAAGAAAAGTTTTTGCTTTTGCAGATAGAATGCATCTTTAGAATCTATTTTGCCTGTCTCACACCCAACATAACCTTTGAAAGATTAACTCTTGAGATAGCTAATAGGTTTCCTTTAGGCAGCCAGATCCTGTCACTCTTTATTGTATTCTTTGGCATGAGGGGGATTGGTTTTCTTTTTTAAATAGGAAAGATTTCTTTAATTAACATTTATGTTTGGAAGATGAAATCAAGTGCTGATCAATTGAATGCAACAAGCATATAATATCCTCGAAGCTGTTTCACCCATTTACCTCTCCTATGATCTGAAAACCCTTTAGACTAAAGAGAAAGTTCAAACACTAAATTTGAACAACAGCTTTGAAAGAAAAAAAAACAGCTGTTCTCTAAGAATTTTGCCCCCTATACTTGTTAAAAGGTGGGCTCCTGGACCTTCTTGGTAAGAAATATTTGGTAAGAAATATTTGGTAAGAAATATTTCTTTGGTAAGAAATATCCTCACTCATGGCTCCTAAAGACTACTTCATGGATCCTAAAGACTTAGAATTTATTTCACAGTGCCTTATATTTCAGTGTAAATATTCTAGGACAACCCTCTGTCCACTGTTCTTACAGTTAGTTCACATCTCTGTCATCCTCAAAGTTGTCAGTGTGTATTTCCATGGTTAGAATGTTTATTTCTTCAAAGTAACTGGCTCCCTCCATGGACAGACAGCATCTTCCATGGTCGCTCATTACTGTAATGAAACACCTTTGCAAACATTAAGTTAGGATTGTGCTGAGCTGTATTTTGGATTTGTGCTGAACATGCAATAATATAGATATTAATAGTAATATTGATAATACCGATATTTTTGTTATGCCTGAGCAGGGCTTGCACAGACACAAGGCCTTTTCTGCTTTTGGTATGGCCACGCTGGTGAGGAATTTGGGGAGCTGGGAAGAGACACAGCCAGGACAGGTGACCCCAGCTGACCAAAGGGATATTCCAGACCATGTGAAACTGAGCTCAGGATATCAAGTGGGGAGAAGAAGGAGGAAGGGAGATGTTTGGGGTAATGGGATTTGTCTTC